TTACGTGACAATTTTTTTTATTATTTTATATGTTTGTGACGTGAATATAATGTGACTAAATGTTTATATCTTTTAATAATTATATATATTTAAAAAATTAAAAATTTTAATTGAAAATCATTTAAATTTTTATATTTTATTATTTATTAATTCGTTGTATTCATTAATATTTTTTTTATTATTAAATTAAACAGTGAAGTGAAAACAAAGTCACTAAATTTAAAACAACTTTTAATTTGTGGCATGGAAACCATGTCACTAATTAGTGACATGGAAATCACGTGGGAATCCTTTCATGCTGCAATATTGAGCACGCTGCAGGGACTTTGGGAAAATTGATTTGTGACGTGAAATTCACGTCACTAATTAGTGACGTGATTTTCACGTGGAAACGTTTTCAATTAATTTGGTAGTTTGTGGCGTGAATTTCATGTCATAAATTAGTGGCGTGGATTTCACGTTGGAAAATGTTCCCGTAGTTGCTTTTCCGACGTGCTCTACCCACGTCGTAAATCTTGTTCAGTGACGTGGTTTTTAACTTAGTAACGTGAATACCATGTAGGAAATTGCAATATTTCTTGTAGTGTTTGGGATATCGTGTACTAGTATGTTTATATTGATTTTATTATGTATGGTTTCCTTCTGAGCTAAAACAATTCAACTTTATAGGCATCTGCTTGGGGGACTGAGTAACAATATGTTTATACTGACTTCTATTATTCCATTTATGACGGTCGAGCTCTGAGATGTATAGACAAAGGGCACAAATGGATGATATTGAAATGAACGAGATAACTAAGAAACTAGTGAAAGGTGAGTTCAGTCGATCTCGTGATCACTACAAAGACACGATGAGTGGGTTCTTTCACTACAAAAAAAAAAAACTGAATCTTGCCACGTGAAATTCACTTAACAACTTGGAAAATCACTTCACAAATTAGTATTAGCGACATGACTATTCACGTGGCAAGAGGACGTGTGACAACTTTGTTGCCACGTGAAAATTACGTCACAATTTTGCCACGTGATTTTCACGTCGCAACAAATAAAACATAGTTTCAGTCACAGCAGGCGTAGCAGACAAAGTGGCCGACGTGTGTAAGAAAGTTGTGATGTGATATTCATGTGGCAATTTGTGACGTGATATTCACGTGGCAAGTTGTGACGTGAATATCACGTGGCTAAGTGTTTTTTTTTAATTTTTTAAATTGATTAATTTTTTGATACATTTAAAAATAATTTATATTTTTATTTAAATTTAAAATTATAATTATAGTTTGTTTTTTAATTATTTTAAAATACAAATTTATTATTAAAAAATTTTCAATAATAATTTAAATAAAAAATTTAATAAATACAAATTATTTTTAAGATTTTTTTGATAATAATTTAAATTAAAAAAATTAATAAATACAAATTATTTTCAATAATAATTTAAATTGAAAATTTAATAAATATAAATAACAAAAATTAATAATAAATTTTTAAATATAAAATGTATAATATACTAAAATGTAATTAATATTTTACAAAAATTAAAATTTAAAATTACAATAAATGATTCAGATCAATCCGGATCGGGATAACTGTCAATGTCAAAATCATCGTTATCCTCGCCATCCAACTGTTGTTGACCACCCACTTCTTTATTTCCAACAACTGAATTACCACCACCTTGTGATTGCATAAAGTGGCGCATCATCGCCTCCGTTTTAGCTTGCCTCTTATTCATTGCCTCTATCTGACGTTGTTGCTCCTCCATTTGGACCGCCGTTTCGCGTCTCGCTTCAGTTAGCGTCAGTTGTCTTACCATTTCTAACATCTCGGGGGTCAATTGCGGTGGATGTGACGTTCTTTCACTATCTCTAACTCTTTAAAATAGAGTTATGTTCCCTTTTCTTATACCACCGGCCAAAACTCCAACACCAAATAAATATCCATTTGGTCCCTTTCCGCTAGTTACTAAACGCCAAATATAAAAATCCACTCGTGTATTAAGCGGCTCGGAACCTCTTGGAGTATACTGAGGATTCTCTATCAAAAACTGTGTGAGCAATACTTGGTAATCCTCCTACACATAAAATAAAATAAATCAAATTGAATATAGCTTAAATAATTTAAGTTAAATTAAATAATAAATTTTGCCACATGATTTTCACGCCACAATATCTCAGTTGCCACGTGATAATCACGTCACCAAATTTTCATTAAATAAAAAAAAATTAAAAAAATAAAATAAAGTGAAACAATTTACTTACCACAACTTTTTTGGTGCGTTCGTCAACAAAGCCCCCTAAATTCTTTGTTCTAGTCTTTACAATTTTATATAAATAAAATTAAACATTAAAAATTATAATTATATATATATATATATTTCTATATTAATATTTATATATAATTAGTATATTAAAACAGATTTTAATTAAAATATTAGTATTATGTTTATTAGTATTAGTTTATTCTAATTATAATTATATTTATTATAAAATGTAATAAAATTTTATTATATAATATATTATTATTCCAATATAATTATAACAATATAATTACAAATTTAAAAAAAAAATTATATAATTATTGGCTAGGGGTTAACCCCTCGCAAATGCATTACACAGCTGGCTAGGGGATTCACCCCTCACTAATTTCAGGAATCACGTGACTTAGCTAGGGGCTTATCCCCTCGCAATTTGTTCTGACAGTTCTGAACAACTCTCTGACTCTAGTTTGCGGCTACGTCTGTATGCAGAAATAGGATTTTTTTTCATTACATTTTGCGAGGGGCTTCCCCCTAGCCATTTTTGCGAGGGGCTTAACCCCTCACCAATTATTTGCGATGCCCTAATTAGTTAGGGGCTCTGTCCTCTCGCAAATGATGGTTTTGTGATGGGTTTTTTGATTTAGTGAGGGGTTTAACCCCTAGCTAAATCCAGTTTTTCTTGTAGTGAGAAAAATATCTCTATATTAATATTTCTAAATTATTTAAACAGAAAAAATATGAAAAATATTAATGTAATAATTTTATATACAAAAAATATAAAAAATATTAATAAATTATTTATTTTTCGTTTCAGAAAATAAATACAAAAAATATTAATATAATAATTTAAACAGAAAAAATTAATTCACAAAATATTTTTACAACAACAAAAATAAAATTAAACATCTACCAACAATCCAAAATTAATAAATAAAACTAAAATAAAAAATTAAATAGCAAAAATACCTCTTCTTCAAACTCCTTCAATCTTTTAGAAAATTATCTTCTTCAATCTCCTTCTTGTTTTCTTTTTTCAATAACAATGATAATTTGACAAAAAAAAACAAATATTAAACTCATATAATAATACATTTTAAACGAAATTAATAAAAATAAATTCAATCATATTAAGGAAAAATATATATTACCTGGAGAAGAAAAATAAAGAAACAAGAGTAGAAAAATAAAGAAATAAAGAGAAGAATAAACAAAGAAGATGAAAAAATAGAATGTGTAGATAAGAAAAAGAAGAAACAGAGAAAGAGAAAGAAGAAAATGGTAATAATAAGTGTGGTCTAGGAAGTTGGACACACATGTCATAAATAAAACCCCAACGACGTGAATTTCACGTCGCAATGTTGCCGCATGAAATTCACGTCGCAACCTATAACGGCTAAATTTTAAATATTCACATTAATCACGTAGCAATAGTGATTATCACTTCGGAAGTTTGCCACGTGATATTCATGTTGCAAAAGTTCCAACGGTCATATTGATTTTGTCCGTCAACCTGCAGCACAGTCAACCATCACTTCTGCGTCAGGTTTTTTTCTCTCCTAAATGGTTATGACGTAATATTCGCGTCACAATTTTTTATTTTTTGAAAATTTCCCCCTTTCCGCTTCAGTAGATCTGAACTTTTAATTATTATTTTTAATTTATATGTTGCGACGTGATTTTCACGTCACAAAGGTTTTTTTTTATATTTTAAAATTTGACAGACCATGTGCTACATTTATTTCTTATTATTTTAATATTAAACATATTAATGACGTGAAAATCACGTCGCAACTGTCTATATTTTGCCACGTCATTTTCACTTCACTAAATCACGTGGTTGAACACAACTTTTCTTTTAGCATTTAAGCTTAATGTAAATTACTTTACTCTTAATAAAAAATATATTTTAGTTTATTTATTTTTCTGTCTAGTTTCAAATTATTGATCCAAATTGAGTTTGAGTTATCAAGTTAATCCAAATTGTTTGTGAATTTTCGTCCAGGCAAATTCAAGCTAAAAATAATTTGCTACAAACTCAAGTTGAGTATCAAACTAAACCAAATCTTATCGAGTTGATCTTAGCTAAACAACTCGATTTATTTTCATCCCTAATATATAATAAACTTTTTAATAAAAATATTATTTTATTTATATATAATTATTTAAAATGTAGTTATTGATCCATTCTAGTGACATGACATGGATCCGACTTGTGTGGCACATCGTCTAGCGCACCTTCCTTGGATGCATTACATAGCATGCACAAACCAAAAAGTAAACGCCACGAAACTTTAAATAAAAAGACTTTAAACATTCTTACAATGCAAATTCATACACCTTCCGCATAAATTGCCAACACTTCCACCCTCCTTTCTGGCAACTATTCTGTCAAATTATACCTTCACTAACAGACATCTTTACATCGATTAAGTAACTTTCACATTCTTACCAAGATTAGTTAAAGAACAATGAAAAGTAAACACTTTTCTGAAGGTGCATGCATCAATGTATTGATATACGCTTTTCCAATCTCTTAATTCTTATTGTCCTCTAGAAAAAAAAGGAACAAGTTTCATCGAGGAAGTGATACAATATCAACGTCGAACTTTCTTTCCACAACATTCTTTCACTGTAATAACTTGCTTGCGTTGAATGTATATATATAATTAATATGTATATGTATATCTATATGATAAATTATAGTGAAGATGACATTGACATGACACCTTTTAGATAGGATTCCTCAAGGTTCTGATGAAGAGAGATGGCAGTGGAATGACATGGAGTTAGGTTGATCGTTGTGACACGGCGAAGAACCGGAAGGAGGAACAAAACCCTTTGGAAGCATCACAGAGAAAGCTCTTGGTGGTGACTTCATCATGTTCTTGACTATCTTCTTCCTGTGTTTCCTATGCTTCTTGTTCTTGTTTCTGTTCATCCTCCTCCTCTTGATTCTTTCTTGTCGTCTCGGAGGGTCGGCGTTAGGGTTGGTGTTCTTGAGGTAGAACACTTGATGGTAGTGAGATATTTGAGGGATGGTTGAAGTAGGGTTTTGAGGTTGAATCTCATGGTTGTTATTAGAGGAATATTGTGAAGAAGAAGAAGATGATAATGATGATGATGATGAAGGTGTTTGAGAGATCATGAGGAGGAAGGAGAAGAAGATGAAGCATTTGAAGGGTAGAGTGAGATTTGCCATGTGTGAGAGAAGAGGGTATAGGAAAGTGTGTTTTGTGGTGCATTTGTGTGGTAAAAGAAAGAAGAGTTATGGAAGTGAGGTTGCACTAAGATTGAGGATTTATGGGAATTCCAATGGGTTGGTGTGGCTTTTTAGATGAAAAAAAGTAAAAGGAAACACGTTTAAGATTGTTGAAAGAAATGGTCAACTTGTGGGATCTTGATCAATTTGAAAAGTTGAATATTTTTGTTGGTGTTTTCTATTCAATCAAAGTGGTTAATTGGATTTAAAAAGGTTAAGGTTGATTGATTGAGAGTACAGTTAAGAAGATTAACATTGAATAATGTTAATACAAAAACAAGAGAACACTTTGTATTTTTTATATCGGTATGACTAAGTGTTAAATTAGTTCAAATTCAAGGTTTTAGATTTTGAATTCAAATGAAGATAAGAGTAGAGTATTCTTGTATTCTACTAGTTCGTTATATATTTTGCAAATGATATTAAAGTGTTAATATATCGTACTAGTATTTTCTAATTGAGCTACGATAGATTTTTTTTAACGAATTTTTTTTATTTTATCTTGGTTGAATATAAGACCAACTCTAATTAATTTAAATTGACACATTTTCTTAAAATGAAAAGTAAATAATTTATTTCATCGACTGGGCTAGCAACCAATAGAAAAAAATCTTTTAGGAACACATTTTAAATCCAAATTATATTGTATCGGTCATAAAGTTCAATAGTCGCGGCCCAGAGAATCCAGTGATCCACCAGGTTACTCGTGGAGCAGAAGTGTTATCTTGGATTAGAGTGAAGGCAATATAAATTTAAGATTCATTCAACGGATCTCCGCATCCTACACTTGAAGATCAACAATATGTTATAACAGTTCTACTATATAAAGAGGTAGTGTGTCATTTTCCAAGTGCAATTCAAATTCAAATTTCATTTACTCATCTTATTCTCATATTGATTTGAGCGTTAAAGTGTTAACCTTGCAAGTCAGCCCCTCTTCCACCGTATCAGAAGCTCAAGTCCATTGTTGCAATCCATAACATTCGATCTTCGATCAATTGTGGTTTCCCGCGAAACAGTGACATTGTCTATGAGAAACGACATTTGATTCCCGCGTCTTCCATATTTGAACATTTGTTTCCTGATTTGTTGAACAAAAGAGCTTCTTCAACCTAAACGTTCAAATCTTCTTAATTTGAATCTCAGATCTTTGTTCTTGATATATTTCAATTGTAAATCAAATTTGATTCTCAGCTTCTCAGATCTCTGACTTCCAAATCTTTCAACAAGGCCAAGTTCAGAGCCACTCACTTTGCTCTGATGTGTGAGACTACCGCAACTGCTCAAGCCGCAAGAGATCCACTATCTCATCCTCAAAACGGTGGTGATCAAATGTTGCTTAAAAGTGTGTGATGTCACATGCAATTATGCATCTATGTTTAAAGTAGCAAGTAAAGGATTAGTAAGGATGTAGAACTCACAAGGAGTGGAAAATAACTTAGTTTGATTTGTAAAAATTTCTTTTGTAAATGAGCATAAGCAAGAATAAAAACTATTGATGATTCTCACAGGCTCGATTTTAGAGTAAACAATGACAAAAACAGTTAATAAGAGTAGAATGAAGTCAATAATAGAGAGTATGTTGGACAATAATCTATTAATATAAAATTGTCTATTGTATGTACATGATGTGCTATGTTGGGCCAAAAGATGTCATAAAGTGATATTGTGGTGTATCTTTACATCATCAAAAACATATACAGTAAAGCAAGGGAACAAATCTCTAAACCTCACTTGTAACTTTAATGCATGTCTAATTTTATTCTGAATATCTTCTATGGTTCTAGCTCTTTCTATCTAAAGTAGCTAATCTAGTGAATATATCTATCCTACTACTTTCAATCACTTTTATCATGAAATGTAAGTTCTATGGTTTTTGGATTGGCAACATTTTGGTAAAACATGTTAGCAAGATGTTGAGCCAGATGTTTTGTCATGACAGTCAGACATCATGTTCAACATGATGTTGTGACATGTGCCATAACATGTTATACCAGAAAGTTAGGGCATGACTGTTTTGGTATTTTTAGTGTGAGTTTTGAGTGTGTTTATTTCACACATTTGTGTTATCCAAAGAGGGATATTATGGGAACTTATGTTTTGACAGATTGTGTTGGTTTTCGTAAAAATGATCTTTGAACTTTATTAGGAAACTTTGTATTTTGTTCCTATTATTGTGCAGGAAATTATGCTGGTGATTAGAAGCTAACTCCTGGTGATTTGCGTTTTATTTCGAAGCTCAAGCCCACAAGGACTAAAGGCTATTTAAAGAGAAGACCTAATCTTGAATGTGTATGGGTTTTTGAAGAAATTAGTATTAGTTGTGTCTTGGAGTCTCTTTATTGTTTAGTGTTTTTTTTGTTTGTATGTCACTCTCGTATCAGATTTGATGCATTGAGTTGACTGATTCTTCATTGTTAATTGTTCACTCTAAAGCTTTTAAGCAATAGTGTATTGTTCTTAGTTGAAACTTTTAAGCAAAACTAAGTATCGTCTTGGAAGTGTGCTACTTTTATTTTGGATAGTTGTTGAATGGTTACAGGTTTGTGACTAATAGGAAGTGAGAGGGGGATCTCATATCTAGAGGGTGTCTATGTAGAAGTTGCACAAGGTAGTGATTAGGCGAGAAGTTGTAAATGATGGAGTTTAGCTTTGAACTAATACTATCATAGTGAATTTCTTTCATGGCTTGGTAGCCCCCAGATATAGGTGACGTTTCACCGATCTGGGTTAACAACTAATGGTGTTATTTATCTTTCTGCTCTTTAAGTTTCTGCATATTTACTTGTGTGATCAAACAATATTGATCTCAGTGTTGTGATATCTGTCTCGACATCTGGTATATGCGTTCTAGAATTTCATGAAATCTTCTTTTGGTTGAATCTCTCACAACAACTTGTATATTTTTCAAAGTTGATCATTTAAAGAAGCAGATTTACTACAGTTTAACACATGATAAAATAAAGCACTAACAACACATCATTTAATACAAATAACTATTTCATATTAACTTCACACTGCTCAACAATAAATAATTTAACTCATAATGAGCTTAGCACATACATCAATATTGGATTCTAAAACTAAGAGTAACTTCTTTGTATTTTTGCAATCTTCATTCAACAAGAGACGATCTTTGTCATGCTAGATACCAGTAGCATACACTTGAGGTGATGAGAACAAGAACCTCTCCACTTTGTTTAGCTTACTCTACTCACTGATTTTCATTAAATGTTTCTTTCTTTGGGTTGCTGAACCGCCTTACATTTTCTCCGAGTGGTCCTTTTATAATCACTTCCATCCATGGTTTTTGTGTTATCTTGGATCATGGGCTTTTGGATATTCATGAATTATGGCCCAAAGGAATCAACAAGTTTCCCTTTAACTCTTCCTTTTCTTACCATTGCAGTTCCCAATACAAATAACATATGGGAGACAAAGTATTTTCTGGCAGGCTAATGACGTAGATATTCAGACGACAATGTCTTGTAGCACTCATTTGCACCAGGAAGACAAACTAGGCGATGTAGTGGGTGTACTATTGTGCATATTTTTATCCTCTAGCGAATTGATCTTATCTCTTTGTCATTTGATTCAAATGCATTCCATTATGCATATTAGTGTCACATAAGCCCTACAACAATGAATGTCCATTCTCTGTAACCTTCATTCCATCCTTTATTTCATCCTGCTCTCTTCTCAAAGTTGGCATTAACTTGCTGTTCCAGTATTGTCGTGCCAGGACTCATCAGAAGTCATCTCTCTTCTCAAAGTTGGCGTTAACTTGCTGTTCCAATATTGTCGTGCCAGAACTCATCAGAAGTCATCTCCACACAAGCAACAAACACATAAAAACTATCAAACAAGAGCACCTATTATTCTCTACTAATTATTTAAAAACAATAAAATTCAGTCAATTAAACAAGTAAAATGACTAAATTTAAAAAATAAATTCAAGTTCTAAGGTTTGTTATAACTTAAAAAATATGGGTTATCACACCCCCAAACTTGAATCATTACATGTCCTTAGGTGATGCGACAAATAATATCATAAAAGAAAATTTTTACTTCTCTCCATCCCCTACTTTAGTAGCTCATTTCATAAACAACTTAGAATCATTCTAAGGGGACCACATCCAAAAGTTGACACAACTCAATATTTTGTACAAATTAGTCCTATTAATGTGTGTATGTGCGCACACGCGCTTTCTAATATTGCCTGCCATGCTAGAACTCTTCAGTTAAGATAGTCAACCTAGATCCTAGTTTATTTATCTTATCATATGGTCAAAGAATTCATTTTTTCAATTTCATAATGGGGAATTAGCTATTTTGCTATTGGCTTTTTGTTCATTTTGAAGTTGAGGTTTTCACTTGCATTGTTTGTTATTATTGATAAGTTTTGTTAGATGTTCCACCATTTTACCTGACGAGATCTTTATTGAAATTAATATAACCTATTACTAATGGTGAAGATATCCATTGTTCCCCCAATTTTGGGCACAAGAACTTATTCCTCCAATTTTGGGCACATAAACTTTATTTGTAATGCTCTTTGTCATTTTTCATTATTTTTGTACACTTTTTGTGTATCTATTTATAAATGCAGTGTGTTCTTGTGCTAGCCTTAAGCAATAGTGTTTCGGGTCCTAAACTTGATGCTGATCCTATCTTTTTCTATTCCCTTGATCTTAGAAAGATCAAGTCACACAAGACTGTTAGACTATGGCACAGATCTAGAAGGGAGGGTTGAATAGATCCCAATTAAAAATTGAGTCGGCGCTACCAATTAAAAATTGGTTTTGAAAAATTGTTTTAAGTGCGGAAGCGGCCGAGGAAAATATAGTCTAAAACGAACGATTATTGGAAAACCGAATATGCGTAAGCCTTTGGATTAATGACAATATGGAAAATAGAATCACAACACTAATCACACTTAT